AGAAGGATTTTTAGCGTTGCTAATTACTTATTTCCGTATCCCTGTCTAGGAATATAAGTTACAGTGCAGTCTCATTGCATCGCATTTTTCAATCAGTTTCTCTGTTTAGCGTTTCAGTAAGCAAATTGGGATAATAATATGGACGTGCAGAGAGGTAGGTTTTACCCATGCTGAGATGAGATATCAATTTTGATTTTTGATACTATTTCTCTTTAGTTTTTGATTAACAACTGCTTGCTTGCTTATTTTGTCCATCTTCTAGTTCGTGCTTATTGGGAAATGTTTGTTGATTTGATATTGAATTCAGTGTTCGGTAGGATACATGCATGTTTGCCTTTATTTGCAAGCACCAATCTTTTATATGTTATTTGATAATTAGGCTTTTTTATTGGTATTTGTGTTCTTTGATGTGTGTATGTGTGTGTGTGTATGCTTGTATGATTGTTCGTGCAAGGTCATTTTAGTTTGAGTCTTTAAAAGTATCAAATCAATTCATTTTATTTAAATTGGTGCTGAAATCTATAATTTATTTGATACTTTTATAGACTCTTCAAAGTAAAATGGCCCTCTCTCTCTTGATTTGAAAGTCTTGGGTATAAATGTAAAAATCAAAGTTATGTATGTTAATGTCTAATTTATTTTTAAAATTAAGAGAAGTAATTTAGCAAACAGTTTTTATAACAAAAATATTTTTAAATAATTAAAAAAAAAAACATAGTGATGTTGGTGGGTTGCTATGCTTTTTGTTGGTCCAGTTCTTTGAGTAATCTCTCTTCTAAGTTGCATAGGATCACAAATATCACAAACGAAATTGGGATTCATGAAGGTCTGACCAAAAATTGACTTACCCGAATCTGACTTGTCTTCAACCCGCAGACCTGACTAGGCCCATATAATTCATTTAACATAAAAAATAACCATTATTTGGGCTGAATCGATTTTGGGTCAATTTTGAGTTGAAAGGTTGATTTTAAGTTAATTTAGGATCATGAGGTCAACTCAAATCTAAAGAAAATTAAATGGGTTTGTATCTTTAACTTGAATCTGATAAAAAAAAATAATCATTTGGGTCAATCCAAATTCAAATTTCTTATTCAAACTTGGGATGAATTGGGTCAATTTTTAACTCCCCTTGAATTACTCCCTAACCGGAGAACATGTAAATCCAACAGTGGAATCAATTGATTGCAGTTTTTAAATAAGGAGGAAGAATGTATTAAAGCAAATTAATTAATTATTATGCTTTGTTCATGATTAAAAATTATTAATTTCTCTTTCAGCAACTTTTCCTTTAGGATTAATACATAACTAAACTAAAAAGATTAAAATATATTTATAAGCATCAAACAAAGCCAAAGTTTATCATGCAATACAAAAAAGTGGTATTTACATGTATCACATCTTAAAATTTCTATTTACATATGAAGCACCCCGAACCTTTCTAATTCATTAAAAAAAGGAACTCACCACTTCAAAGAAGAATAAGAGAGAACATGAATGGGCAAAGCCATGGCAGAGGTGCTGCAGATGGCCGTTCATTGATGAGAGACATAGATCTTGAAAGTGAGCCGACCTTTCTCTGTTATTTACTGAATTGGAGTCAGGATTGGAGAAGATAAGCTTTGAGGACTGGAGAGGAGTTCGTCGGCACCGGAGAAGAGAAGGAACGGAGCTTAACGGGGTTTCTTCTTTTTTTTTGCATATTAAAAATGTTTTAAGTGCTTTATACGTAAATAGAAACTTTAGGGAGTGGAATTATGTAAATATCTCTGTTTTGGGGCTTTAAACTGTATAAAGACTATTGCCAACCACTATGGCAAGTTGGCAGCTTGATTTTTTCTCATTAATCTGAAACATAAAGCTTCTCATTTACGCAGTGGCAGCACATTCAACTGATACAATAATTATTCAATCACTTAAAGAATAAGCATCCCTCTCATAGGATTTGGTACACCCTTATCATTTTGTTGGCTTAACTATCTGTGAAACCAAACATTGTGAATTTAGCTCGAAGGTAGTTAATTGCTCAAAAATTGATTCTAATTATAGCTCTGATGAAGATCATATCGAAATAAACGAGAGAAGTTATGAGCCAAAATTTTGGATCAAATTTTTTTGAGCAGATTTTGAGCAATAAACCAGTAGGTTCTAATTGGCTCAAAATTTTTTTTATCTATAAAAAATATTTAATGATCAATAAAATCAAATATAACGGACCCAAATAAATCAATTTGGGCCATCTTTCAGATTTTGAGCCAATTTCAAGTTGGAATGGATAAAAAAAACTCAAATTTGAGCCAACTCATTTCGATTTGGAGCTGAAATGAGATCGATCCATCGAGCCGAGTTCGCTCAATATCGCGCATAATAAGCCTCGAGCCGATTTCAATCTAAGCTCAATCCATTCGAGCTAATTTTGGGCCGTTGAGGGCCTATCTCAGTTCAAATTAAGCTCGTTAAAGGATCTAATGAAACCTTTCTTCAACATCAACATCATCATCTTTGCTGGAAGGCCCAAAAAAAAAAAATAATAATAATAAAATAAAATAAAATAAAAGATTGTTAATAGTGTAATTTTGATTTTGGATAAGCCAATGCGAGATTAGCGTCTAATTTAGGTCAGTTTAAGTGACTGAAAAATAATCGGGTCCAGTTCCAATCAGTCAATTTGAAAATAATAGTTTAACTCATTTGATTTTTTTTTTAGTTAAAACTCAGATTTAGCTATAAAAAAGTTGTTTTTACAGGATTATGATGTCTAATTTGGCAGAAGATATTATGTACGGATAATTGACATGTGGGCAACATCCTGGATCTCATCACGCTTTGTGCACAACGGCGTGGTGCGATCCATTCAATCGTTTGAAAGTTCAGACGATAGATGTCATATTTTCTCTTATTGCGAGTTGTCTAATAAGAGAGTTTTATCGGCTTTATTTGTAAAATATTGTAACCTCTATTTAAACACATATGTTGAATGAAAAAGAGAATTTTTGGCTTATTCACTTTCAATTTGGTATCAGCCAATCCTAGCCGTCCGCATCAATCACATCCCGCCGCTCCCTGTCTGCATCGATTGCCACTCCTGATCTTCAGGGCCCACTGCTTGTGCTTCTACATGCGAAGTCCGATGCAGGAGATGCGCCCGCTTTCCATGAGGGAGACGCAGTTGTGTCGAGCGCCACTCGACGCCTTTCAGGTCGCCACCATCCCTTGTCGTCGTCCTCCTACCTGCTGTCCTCCAGGCTGCCACCATCTTTCTAGGACGCCGTTGCCGTTTGTCCAAGCCACTGCCGCAACCTCCTTTCCAGGCCGGCGCCGCCACACCTACTGCAGTCGGGCTGCCACACGAAGAAGATCCCGATATTGATGATGAGATAGATCAAAATTGAGTCTAAAGGAGGAAGGGAATTCTTCATGGTTTGTATGACCTAGAAGAGAGTCCAGGTGATCGAAGATGACAGGAGATGGAGATAATGTGGGGAGTAAAGTATTGTATCTTTTGGGAATGATTGATCTCGAGGCCCTGAAGGTCCTTGTAAGGCTCATATAGGGAGCTAGTTCCTTGACAAGACCACAACTTCAATGCAGGCTTCAACGAAAGTGAAGCTAGATCTCTCTCCCTTGTATCTAAAGCTTGAATGACCGATCACTTATCTGAGCTTGTCACGTTAGATTGAGGCAACTTTAGTAGGGAAGAGCTAGAGAGGTATCTGATCGAGGACAAACCAAAAAGTGATAGTGATGAGAGAGATAAGTGGCAAGCAACTCACACTTTAGTCTACACCTAGTTGCTCCCCTAGTTGCTCAACTCAATGGTTCCGCTAATCACAGTCTCAGTTGATGGCATGCAAATGGTGAGGGACATTTAGGCAAAGTTGAAGAAGATTAGGAAGTGCTACAACTGTGGTGATGTTGGTCATCTGAGCAGTGGCTGCCCTAAGCCATTGAAATAGAGAGAGGCCGGTGGACGTGGATAGAGTGGAGGGCGAGATCATGGTCGTGGGGGTTGCAAATGTGGAATTAGGGGCAATCGGGCAAGTACTACAACTTGGTCTCATTGAAGAGCAAGAAT